ATCCGAGAGCTCCACAAGCCGGCAGCCCGCGCAGCAGACAGGCGCCGCTGCGGTCAAAGATGCGCCGAGCTGCTGCTGAGGGGAGGGGACCATACCGATAGTTGGAACCAAGCTCCACCAACATGTCATATTTCAACCCATTTTCAAAAATGCAGCGTTATGTTAAATGCACTGGGTTTTACCCTATTACATTTAAATTTCATGGTTAAACAGTACACGTTAAAATCTAAGCTCAGCTAGTGCAAGAGCGCCAGTGACCTAAAATACATAAATATAATTTTACATCCTGAAAAAAATGAAGTGGAGACTCCATGGACGCTCTATTAGTGCAATTGATACCACAGCAAGTCATTTTTGAGATATTTTTGTTGGTCTACCTGACTGGTTTGTTTTTAACAGAACCAGTCATTTTCCACTTCCTTATCAGAGTTCTAATACTGCTGACTGGCATTATCAGTATCTTGGATATCATTTTACATCCCTTTCCTGTTTTATAGAGTTCAGTCACCTTTTCTCATAGATCCTGTGACAATTCTATGGCTTTCCCCATGACTCAGAAACAGAAAACATCAGTGCAGGATGGAAGATGCAAGGTTTTGTCAGGAGTCCCTCTTCTTCTTTCTTCTTGTTTATTGGCGGGTGGCATCTAACATCTAGGTGCATTTCCGCCACCTACTGTGCAGGTTTCTTCCTGTTAAAAGGGCGTTTTCCTCTCCACTATCGCAGCACCAGGGCTGTACAATGTCGCACGTGCGCTGAAAAAAACTCTCTGTGCGATAAACTATTTTTAGACATAGCACTCACATCTTTCCAAGTTACTTTTTCAACAGAACTTATCGGAACAAATGTAAGTTGCTTGTTATTGTGTAAGGAATGCCTTTCACTTGTGCACAACATGCTAATCTGTGGAGGAAAACAGAGAAACCAGCAAAGACACAAAGGCAGAGACGAACCAAAGTTTGGGATGAAAAGTGCAACTACGGACAGATTAGCTAATGCTAGCAGGCTCACTATTAAGCGGGGTTCAGAAAAAAACGATGGTTGTGAAACTAAGAATATCTAAACTCTACAAGCGGGAAAAAAGTCCCAATCATCCTATTCTAAGCTATCTGCAGCGCTGTGCAGCACAACCACAGACGTCAGGCTGCAGATTCGAGTCTGCTCCATAAACCGTTACAGAATTATAGCAAGCCACTGTAACATTTATTTCAAAAACATGGCTATCTTGAAACATAGTCTAAAACAGATTATTGCTAACCTGTACATAATAGATATGTCACCGTTACATTTTTAGTAGTTGAAATTAAATGTTATTAGCATTTTCAGTACCACTGAACATGTATACATACATTAAATTATACTGATCATACTTTAACTGTGGATATTTATATTTGTTCTTTTGATTAAGATGCGTGATATTGATACTAACCTAAAATGTTACCGAAATGTAGGTAAAAAATTTTCATTCATTAATATCTAACTGTAACTATCAGATAGGAAAGAGGGAACTATACAACACCAATTTAATACATTTATAGGGCGCCTAAGTCACGTCCATCTACTTCCAGATCATGGGTCCCCAGAAGAACAAAAAAAGGAAATGGGGCTAAAAATGCTATTTTCTAATTCCACTTATTATGTGCCAGAGATTTCACATATGATGTCTGTGAAATTTAAAGATGCATTTTGATACCAAGAACGCGCTTATTTTTGAACGGGGGGAAACGAAATTTGAGGTTTTGTGTGAAAACAAGTCCAGGGCTACAAATGTTCTTCACAAAAGTGACTTAGTCGAACCAGACACGGAGAAAAACAGAGGAAAGTGGCTATAAGTTCAGCAAGCTTCAAATCCTTCCTCTAGGAGGAAAGAACCACCATAAATCTGGCCATGTGGTAAAAACAGCTAGTAGCAGCTAGGGGAGAGGAGATTCTGTGGTGACGTCACTTATGTGACATACTGGTAGGGTTGTCACGGTGTGAAAATTTTAGCTTACGGTTATCCATCCATCCAGCCATCCATCCATTGTCTGAACCCACTTTGTCCACGTAGAGTCACGGGGGGGTGGGGTGGGGGTGGGGGGGGGGGGGGGGGGGCGCTGGTGGCTATCTCCAGCGGTCAATGGGCAATCAGTCGGGGTACACCTCACGGTTATTGTGACCAATATTATCACGGTTTTCGGTATTATCGCGGCTTTTTTTTTAAACGTGTTACATTTTCAGACAACTACATAAACCCTGTATATCAGGAAAATATTGTCCTCAGTTTGTGTCTAATTTTTGCCTAAAATTTGTTATTTTGTAATTATGTTGTTTAATTGTTTACATTTTTCTCCTTTGGTCTTTAAAATACCAATATTTGCCCATAACTTCTTATTTTTTGTCTGTTTGAGGTCATCATTTTAAAAATATTAGTTCAGATGATACTCAGTACACAAGTAGCCTTCTAATCAGATACTTTTTTTTACCCTTACTTGAGTAATAAACCCTATATCAGGAAAATATTGTCCTCGGTTTGTGTTCCAGTGAGCTTTGCAGATTTGGGAAAATGTCATCAGGCAGTAATCATTGTTAAATTCATAATGATTCTCGGAGAGAGACCAACTCTTATCTGCCCCTGGGAGACCCGTAATGCATAGCGTCATTTCAACATGGGGGTGTCCGCGACACGGTTTATATGCAGGTAGCGGCGCTGCGGCTGCTTTATATAGTGACTCGTTGCATTCTCCCTCAACCCAAATCTTTGAGTCACGCATTTTAGCTAAAATGCTAACGTTAACTTGCCTTGCATTGACTGTAGGATTGTGGGTGACGGTCACACAGATGTGTCATGAGATTTGAAGCGTTGCTGCCTTTCACAGACACTTTTTCTGCACGTGCTGCAAACAGGATAGCCGTCTTCTATCAACTGTCCCTCGGCATTCTTCAAATATCTAAAAAATGCCCATACTTCCGACTTTGTCTTCTTTGAGGGATAATAAATGTCCTGAGCGCTGCCATCTCCTCCTTTGGCCATTATTTCAGCTTTAGCTTCAAGAAAGTTTTGGTTGTAAACAACAAAGTGTGCATGTGCCGCCGGCAACTTCCGCAGACGATACGGTGGCTGGTAAGGGTCACCGCGCCTACTCCGCAGCCACGGTACTCCACCGAGATAATATTTTTTTTTAAAACAAGACAGTTATTATTATGGTCAACTTTTTTACCAGGGTTTACCGCTACACTGGTTACCGTGACAACCCTACATACTGGTGTCTGGTTTGTAGTCATGTTAACAGCAAATTTTTTCAAGCTGATAAAGCTCAAAGTACGTGACAGGCGTGGTCAAAACACATATCATTACCGTATACGTCGCTCCAGCCATAAAATGTATAATGAAGAAAAAAAAAAAACATATATAAGTCACACTGGACTATAAGTCACATTTTGGGGGGAAATTTTGTTATTTTTCTTACAAAATCTGAGACCAAGCGTTTCACATTGCAAGACATGTACCAGTAACAATAACCGAATAAACAACCAGGGCGCAGCAGCGCGCCACGGTCTCCAACAGGTGATGGCGGGGCAGAGGAGCTGAGACCTGGTCCGGAGCCGGCCCGCAGCAGCGTGGTATACATAATTTGATATATAAGTAACTTTGGTATATAAGTCGCAGGACCAGCCGGACTATGAAAAAAAGTATGACTTATAGTCCGGAAAATATGGTAGTTTTCATTTAAATAGAAGTACAACATCTGTGCGATCCAGGCGTAAGGCAAAGTAGATTGGGAATAACTCTTTAGCCCCGTTGACTTGCTTTCATTTTTTGTTCTTCAGGAACCCTTGAGCCGACCGAAAAGGGAGGAGACTTATTCTCCCTATTGAGCCTTTTATAACAAAAGTCTGACATTTGAGCCTCATAATTGTTTTGTTTTATTTCATATTTTTTGCAGCAGACCACAGTCTTGTTTCACTTGAAACATTGTCAAATGGAATATTCGATTAATCAGACGATTCAACAGAATATTCAAATGCTAAAATATCCAATAGCTGCAGTCCTATTTTAAACCTTTAACAGAACAGAAAAACAAACAAACAAGAAGACACAAAAACACAACCTGCACCAAACCAAGGTCTGAGAAGGGAAAAGTTTATAAAGACAACACGGTGGTCACACATAACATAAACCAAACGAGCACATATTTTGCTTGATGAATCATAAAATGAGCTCTCATTCTGGCATCTAAACGGGTTTATGAATGGCACTCTACCACAGTTTGAAAGCTCCAGATCTCCACGGAGCTAAAGCCTTAGCTAACACATCTTGTTAACCATGCAGTTTCTAAAAAGTAGACCATGAAAATGCAACTATCATACACAGTAGCGAGGTGTCTACTCTTCTATGTCTATGCCATTGAGGACGGACATCTGTAATGAGCAAATCTACACAAATTTGAATAAAAGAAAATGTTCTTTTCGAAGTTACACTGACAAAAATGTCTGAAGATATTTCAGAATCAGCTTTATTGTCAAGCACATGAGTTAGACTCACGTTACCAGGAATTTGCTTTGGTGGTTGTTATTGTGTTTTAATTATATGCACTGGTGTTTGTCAGTGTGTTTAAGTACTTGTAAGAACTACTTTTGGTTTTTAGAGACTGAAACAAATTTGTTATGCTGGTGCTACAACTTTTTGTTCTGTGCTACAAAACCTACGACCTTCATAGCACCAGTGCTATTAGCTAAACATGTTAACATACAGCCCTGTGCATGCTTGCTTAGTATAAGGACTGCTGTAAAGACTCTGACACTAGTCAGTGACTCGATGCAACCTGCTAGGTTCCTCATATGGGAAACCTTTTACTGATTGGCTTAAAGAACTGAACTGTATTAGAATGTTTACTGTGTGAAGCGCCTTGAGACGACTCTTGTTGTGATTTGGCGCTATAGAATTAAACTGAATTGAATCATCTTAAGTCATTTTGTCCACATGATTCTTAACACAGAATTTAACAAAACACACAAACCTGTGCCACTCTGATGAAATGGGAGATGACAGCAGCTCTCTGCGGCGCAGTGGGCTTGCTGAGCACCATAAGCTGGATCCACTGAGAAACACTGTTGAAGAGGGTGATAAAGCGCTCCAGGATGGGGTTTTCCACTGTGCAGCCATGCATCACAAAGCTGTGGTAGTCCTGAAACTAAGGAAATGTGGAGTCATGCAAAACAGAATGTATCAAAATTTTATTACAGTATACTTACAGTTTTATTGGTTAAAAATGAAAATATCTCAGGTGACTTTTTAATATGAAAATATATGGTACACTAAGATATAATTGTGCTGTACAGCAGTGTTTCCCAACCATTTTTGACCCGTGGACCTCTTGAGCTGTTCTCTCGTATCACAAGAATCCCCATAGCCAAATGTGTTTACATTTCCCCAAAAGTAGAACGTACAACTGATTATTAAATGAAAATCATTTCATTCAATCTCCTTAACGCTGAACCCCGTCTCAATTCCTGTCAGGCTCAGGTGATTTTTTTAACTTTAATAATCCTCCAGCAAGGTTCAGAAAAAAAGACTCCATGTGGAAACTTTCTGGAACTCTGCATCTGGATCTGTACCACAGCTGATGTAAATGTTTTGATTGGACTCAATGATTTCTGATCCATGTGAAACAGTCTGGCCATTATGGACCCATCGTCCATTCAGGAATGGCAAACAAAAGTTGAAACAGCAATAACTAAACTCAAAACCAACATGCAGCAAACGTTAACTTTGTTGGGAGATTCTTCCTCTGTTACTAAATCTAGGCCTACAACTTCTGCTACAACCTCTCAACGTTACAACTCACCCACCCCGGAGCCACGCCTGACCCCTCCTGAGCTTTAGGGGTGAGCAAAGCTAGTGCAGATCATTTATCACCCAATGTGACATACATTTTGAATTGCAAACCTCATGTTTCCTCACTGTACGTGCTGAAGGTGATTTCCTTATAGTCTGACAGATCCAAGAAATGGGGGGCAGCAGAATGGCAGAGGGATCACAGATCTGTTACTGTTTCAAGGACTTGGCTGCAGAACTCATCAGTTTTTGATCCAATTCTACCTGGGAGGGAGGTGGCCCGAGGCCTGTTTTATTTGAAGCAAGGCAAGAAGCATGTTGCAGAGTAGGTAATTGATTGTCAAACTTTGTCTTTTGACAGTAACTGGAATGACGAAGCTCTCTGTGACGCTTTCTATTAAGGATTAACTGATGAAACTAAGGACAAACTAGCTACTTCTGATGCACCCAAGGACCTAGCTGAATTGGACCTTCTAGCCACCAGGATTGATTTAAGGCCTGGGCTGGTGTGGTTACACGTCGTCTGGGGTTGTGAGGCCGGTTGGATGTACTGCCATATTCTCTGAAACACCTTTGGAGACGGCTTATGGTGGAGAAACAAACATTCAATGCATGAGCAACAGATCTGGTTGACATTCCTGCTGTCAGCATGCCAATTGCACTCTCCCTCAACACTTGTGGCATCTGTGGCATTTTGCTGTGAGACAAAGCTGCACATTCCAGGGTGGCCTTTTATTGTGGGCAGTATAAGGTACACCTGTGCACTACTCATGATGTCGGATCAGCATCTTGATGTGGCACACCTGTGAGGTGGGATGGATTATCTCAGCAAAGCAGAAGTGCTCACTATCACGCATTTAGACTGATTTGTGAACAATGTTTGAGAGAAATGGTAATATTGTGTATCTGGAATGAATTTTAGATCTTTAAGTCCATCTCATGAAAAATCTGAGCAGAAACAACGGTGTTACGTTTATATTTTTGTTGAGTGTAATTTGTGGATGAGGAACACACATGGATGACTGAAACCTTCAGTACTGCTGTTCCTTCGTTCTACCACTAGATGCTGTTCCTACGGATGGTCAGAGCTGTTCTTATATTTAGGAACATGTTTACACACAACTGCAACTTGGTCAATACCACACAATGCGTAAATTTGTGCCTACTCATGAAATACGCACAGATCTGTGCATAAGTAAGGTTGATAAATGAGTCCCCAGGTGAGAACAAGACTTCTCTTAAAGCGCGATTTATCTAGTAAACATCGGCATGATCTTTTGGCTTCTTGTCCTTCGTTTGGCAACCTGAGCGCCACTTTAGCATTCCCGCCAGGCCGCGATGCGGCGCAGTTTCTCAAACAACAAACTGAACAAAGTACAATTTAACAGTTTATAAGAATGGGCAAAGTGTCTCTTTTTGGAAGTCAATGCAGGGTCACCCTAATCATGACACATAAATTACAACTAAGTATCACTTTTGCAGCCAGTGGATGGTTTGGGTTTGGACCGGTTGATGTTGAGCTGATGACCGGTTGCTAAGCAATTGGATGAAAGAAAGCTGTCTGTGATTGGCTGGCGGAGAGGCTTTGGTTTGTAAGTTGCGAGTTGAGCAAAAGCAGGGAGAGATCTGCACGTGCGGAGACAGAGTTGAGCGAGCAGATTGTTTGGGCAAATTAAATTATTGTAAATACAACAACTGATATGATAATAAATTATATATAAAAAAACCTCTCTGCCTTTTTCTCTGTCTGTCAGTAAACATACAGACTTAGGCAAGTAGGATGTCTTCCTCGTATTACAGAATAGAATAGAATATCCTTTATTGTCACTGTACACACTCGTACAACAAAATTTGGAAGCCACTCCCGGGTGCAAGTTGAACGTTGAAAGAGATACATAACACTTAACAGCTGAAACAAGTGGTTCCCAGGATGGAACTTGTCCTTAATGATGTTGGAAGCCCTGCTGAGATAACGGGGGTATGCGAAGTCCTCCAGGCTGGGCAGCGAGCAGCCATTGATCCTCTGGACTGAATGTATAACCCTCTGAAGCACTCTCCTATCTGCAGCAGTGCACCCTGCATACCAAATAGTTATCCCGTATGCTAGGATGCTCTCAATAGTGGCTCTGTAGAATGTCACCAGCAGTCTCTCCTCCAGGTTGTTCCTCCTGAGCACCCTCAGAAAGTGGAGACGCTGCTGAGCCTTTTTTGATACTGCCATGGTATTAGCAGAGCAGGAGAGGTCATCAGAGACCACGACACCCAGAAACCTCATGGAGTGAATCTATATACACACCAAAAATAATACTAAGGACTGCAAGGCTATGAGCAAAAAATAAGCCCCGGTTAAAGGTTTATGCATTAAACAAGAAACGTCATAATTGATAATAAGGGCTTCTGTAAAATCTGATCTCCAGTCCACATCCAATCAGAATTATCATCTCTTCTGTTTCATGATGTGGAGCAGTTGGATGTTTATGGCATAAACGTTATACTCACAAAGTTGTTGTTTTTTCCAACCTCATGCCCACTTTCATGTGAAGCACACTCCTCTTTTGACATTTTATTTCTTGTATTTGCTCACAGTCTGTATTTCCATTTGTCTCTCGTCCTCCATGATCTACTTGGCTGCCCGAGCATGGAACCGCTGGTTAGTCAGCTGCTGCTGCAGCTGTCACATTGCGGGAATCTGCGTGGTGTTGGAAAACTCTTCACTTTTATTCTCTCCTCTACCTGAGCTGATGGTCATGCACAGCGCACCTAGCGACAGTGATTTTGCACAAAATGTGGTCCTTAATGAAGCACGTGCCAGACTGGATGACTGGTGTTTGAGGACAAACATTTTTTTCAGAAATCTCGGAGATTATCCACTAATGAACACCCAAAAAATTTACCGGTAGCTACGCAATGTACCCTAGTCTTTTTTTTCTGCTAAAAACACTGAAAACATTACAGCAGAGAGATTCAAGAGGCATTCCCTGACTTTTCCAAGGTTCCCACAGAGTAACATGACCTCAACAAGGTATTTAATAAACACAGATCCCCCCCCCCACACACACACACACACACACACACACACACAGCAGCACTCCTCCATGCCCTCACATCATCAAAGTTCAGTTTTGTCTGGAATGAGCCAGCTGACCAGGCTTTTTCACACCTAAAGGACCTGTTTGTCTCTTTACTCATTCTCCGCTTCTCTGAAACTTCTCGTCCGTTCATTGTTGAAGTGGATCGTTCTGACTCAGGTGTAGGTGCCATACTCAGCCAAAGATACTCGGATGGTTTGATTCACCCTTGTGCTTTATTTTCCAGAGGCGTGTGTGCCGCTGAACGTAACTGTGATGTAAGGGATCGGGAACTATTGGCAGTCAAGCAGGCACTAGAGGAATGAAGGGATTATTTGGATGGTGCTAAGAACCCATTCCTTGTTTGAAATGACGACAAGAATCTCCAGTACCTCACGAATGCCAAGAGACTAAACCCCAGGCAAGCCAGGTGGGCTTTGTTATTTTCAAGATTTAATTTCACCTTGTCCTACAGACCAGGAACCAAGAACATCAAGCCGAATGCCCTTTCCCGGCTTTACAAGAACACGGCGGAGGAGCAGACCACTGAAAACGGAGACCACATCCTAACTGACGGTGTTAGGATGGCTGTCACTCACCTTGATATTGAAGAGTGGATAAGGGCAACCCATCAACAGCATCCAGTCACCTCTGAGTGCCCTAAGGGCCTCCTCTTTGTCTTGGACCACCTGGTTTCCGAGGTACTGTCTTTGTGTCACTCCTCCCACCTTTGTTGTCATCCAGGAATCAGTAAAACCTTATCAGTGGTTTGGGGTCATTTCTGGTGGGGGACCTTGTCCCGGGACTTCAAGGAGTTCGTCTCAGCATGCAGGATCTGTTGTCAGGGTAAGTCCTCCCATCGACCCTCCACTGGTTACCTCTGTTCATTGCCTATCCCAGATCGTCCTTGGTCACACATATCCATGGACTTCATCGCAGGTCTGCCTGTTTCTAACACTTATACTGTACTCCTAACCATTGTTGACTGTTTTTTCCAAGATGACCCATTTGGTCCCTCTAGTCAAGTTGCTGTCATCCAAAGATCTTGGAGAGGTCCTGGCTCGAGAGGTTTTCCATCTGCATGGACTCCCAACTGATAATAGGGTCAGACAGAGTCCCTCAATTTGAGTCATGTTTCTGGAAGGAACACATCACATCCCCTTGACTGCCACTGGCTTGTCTTCATTTAATGCTGTCTATGGTTACCAGCCCCGTGTTTGCACTCCAAGAGCTTTCTACCAAGGTCTCATTTGCCCATACAGCAGCCCTCAGGTTTCACCCGGTATGGTATCTTGCCCGTCAGACACTACTAAAAGCCTCTGCTGTCTATTCTAGGTCTGCTAACAGGAAGAGGACCCCTGCGCCTGTGTACCAAGCAGGATAGAGGGTGTGATTGTCCACAAAGGACCTTCCTCTGTGGGTCAAGAATCGTAAACTGGCTCCCCGTTTCATTGACCCCTTTCCTGTCTCCAAGGTGGAAAATCTTTTTACGGCCTGCCTCCGTCTCCTCAGCACCCTGCGGGTCTGTCCCACCTTCCATGGGTCTTGTGTCAAGCCTGTATCTACGTCCCAACTGGTGCCCTCCTCCAGGCCCCCTCTGCCTGCCCGATTTGTTGCTGGTGGTCCCGTCTACACTGTGCAACGCACTCTTCAGTCCCAGTGCTGGGGCCGGGTGTTGCACTACCTCGTGGACTGGGAGGGTTATGGCCCCTGCCCGCCACGACCTGGATAAGTCACTCCTCTGGGAGTTCTATTGTGCTCATTCTGACCAGCCGGATGGTCCGTCGGGTGCCAAACCTTGAGGAGGGGTTACTGTTAAGATTCATGTTCCTCATATCCTGCCTGCCATGTTGTCTGCCATTCCTGCTCTAATCAGCATCATTTAGTTCACCTGAGCTCTGTCTGATTACCTCATGGTTCACACCTGTTCATTCCCTTATTTAAATCCTCAGTGATCTTTGCTTCTCTGCCAGATTGTTTGTAGCCTTTTGTCTCAGCATACCAGCAGTTCATTGTTCTGATCTACCAAACTCTGTACCACATTCATGTTCCCGGGTTGTCTCTACCTGGCCCTTAAAGAGCAAGTCACCCCCAAATCAACTTTTTTTCCCTGATAAACTAAATAAACAAGTGTCTAATCATGCTGCAGACACGTGTAGTCAATAGTTTTGCACTTTAGTGCATTTTAGTTAAAATTTTAATTTTCTGCCTAAAACTGTCAGTGTGATGCCGTTGTCAGGTAAAAACTCTGCACTGTATTTGAATTTAAATCTGCCATCGCTATTGGCTAAGAGGTATGCTATGATGTAAACTGGTACATTATGATGTCACAATGCTGTGGTGAGCCTGTGTGTGTGTGTGTATTTGTTAGCGGCTCCGCCCTCTCGGTATGCCAGGCAACAGCATTTGTTGCATTTTTTAAACATGAAGTGAGAGTGGAGTTAGACTCTGGTAGGGGGTGTCTTGCTCTTTAACGAATTTGACTGCTTCTCTTACCTCTGAACTCCAACCCTGCTCTGAACCATGGTGTCTGATTATTGTCTCCACTTTCTGTTAAGTGTGCCTGTCTCTGCCTCTCTGTTGATGACCTCTGCCTGTTTTTGAACCCTGCTTATGAAATGGGTTTTATTTGCTATGGCTAAACATTTGTCTGTCATAGGAGAGGAGCTATTTTCACAGACAGGAGGCAGAGTTTTCTGTCAGAGGAACATTCTGGGAACATTCCAACCCGGCCAGCACCCACCACTGCCCTTGTCCCTCAAACAGTGCTTATCTGCAGAAACCCAGCTCTTACTCAAATCCTCAATTTGTTAATAAATTATCTTTTTTTACATTTAACTCCTGTGTGTGTGGCTGAATTCCGGGTCTCCAGAAAACTCATTACAGACACAGCTTGTATGCGTACCCCTGGTTGAAAATCACTGTTGTACAGTATGACATAATATGGTACAGTGCTAAACAGAATGGTACCATTTGGTACATTCAGGCCCACAATTATAATATGCATACAGACTTCAGATAGCAACTATAATAGACTAAATTATCTAAAAACAGAACATGCCACTTAATGTTGATGCCTGTTGCTTAGTAACAGCAATATTATATGGAATCACCTAAAATTTCAACAGTACACTGGATGTAGCTGAGACTAACCAGAATCTTGCAGAAGGATTTGTACTCCAAGTAGGTCAAGTGTTCAGCCAGCTCACATGAGTCAAGGTGGTCAAACAGCAGGGACATTTTCCTTTTCTTGGACACAGACGGGACGCGCTGAGTCACCTGCCGTTTCCATTCATATGATGGCCTTAGAGGGATTACAACACCACAGCTTTGAAGTCAGTGAATACGTTGCTCCAATGAGGCCATTCAAAAAATTACAGCTGTTACCTTTTAATACAGAATTTAGTTGATGTGTGGAAAAACTCTGAACTACAAACTTATCTTTTATTGAATAAGGAAGCTGAGGAGATGCAGAAAAAAATGTGAACAAATGATAAGTTACTGATCCTTCCCTGCACAACTCAGCAATCAACAGCCAATAAAACAACATGATGTCAAGTCAAATAGACATTCAGTCATGTTACAGCATGCAGCATTTATGTTACAGCATGCAACATTTAGCAGAAATGTCACTCACACACTGTCCAGATCAATGAGCTGGCTCTGGTGCTCATCGCCCTCTGTGGTCAGAAAGTCTTTAAAGTCTTTGATCTGATCTGCTAGCTCGGGGTTCAGATTGAACTCTGCGGGAAACTCAGAAATCCAGTACCTGTAAAAATGAGGCAAACGTGTGTACAGTATATGAACTACTGCCATTTCATCAGATTTCAACCAATTTCTGGGTTTTACGCAGTTTATATGAAAAGTAGAAAGTATTTTCAATTTCTATTTCAACTCTTGAATTTCTTATTTATGGTGATAAATAGAAGATAGTTGTTTGAACTCACATTCAAACCTGTTGAACCCTGTTTCTCTTTATTCTACTTCCAAATGTTTTTTAAACCTTTTCAACTACTTCAAAATTTCTGCGGCTTCAACAAATTTGGCATCAAAATAATCAGCTTGTTAAGCTTTTTCTGGGCTTTACTTTTGGCATCAATATCTTTAATATTTTTGAGTAATTCAACATTTTCTGTGATTTTTTCCCCCATCAAAATGAATGGGATTGGTAATTTTCCCACAAAATCCTGTCACTTTTTGACCTAAAATTCTATAGGGTTAACTTTAATTTAGACACTTCATTCAAACGTTAACACACTCACAAGACTTTTGGCTAAAATCTGAGAAAAAATCTTCTTGATATCTTTTACGGTTTTTCTAAATCACAGGAAGAAGTTTTTAGAACACATCTCTCACCATCTGTTTAAATGTAAATCAATTAACTGAACTTTAAGCTGATTATGATTTAGACCTATTTTTCTCCAGTTTTCATTATTCTAGAAGAGAAACAGACCTGTTGAACACAAAGTATGGCAGTTATCATATTTCATGCCCAGTTAAGGCACATATTTGTTTATCCTATGTACTCTACTTTAAGATAACCTCAATGATCGAGAGCCAACAGATGTAAAGTTCAACAGTGTGATACATGCAGCAAGATTTATTATAGGTTTACATTTAACATTTTGCAGATTTTTTTCTAATAAATGAAATATAAAAAACAATTTAAAAAAAAGGACAGAATGTTTATTATAGAGCTAAGTTCACATTTTCTTTACAAAACTCCCTAAAACAGCTTTCTGTTGGTGGCAGGGCAGTCTTAGGCAGGGGTGTCAAACTCAAATTCCCACTGGACCAAAATGAAAAACTCAATATTCTTTAGAAAAAGTGACAGCAAATGTGTAAATTTTCATTTATTTACAGATATGCATGGTTGAGCCTTTTCATTTGGAAATTAACTTAGTTTTGAATAAACACTGAATCTGGTATGACCAAATTACACAAGAGCAAATCGTTTTAAAATAAAGCTCACATCAGTGGTATTCGTTACTTAATAGATCTTATTTTTAAAAATACTTTTATTTCTTAAATTGTACATATATACAGTATTTTTTATATTTTGAATATTTTAAGTATTTCTGTTTTCTTGTTGTCTACTCTTTATTCTTACTTTTTACTGTCCTTTATTTGCTCCTGTAATGTTATTGCTGATATAACACCAAGCTTTCCCCACTGAGAGACAATAAAGGAATGTTCTTTTCTATTCATCTATCTGTAGTGATTCCTACAGTGCCCGTCTGGTGAGGGAAAAAATAACTAGTGGCCATGAATTAACAACTCGTTCCCACGCATTTTGTACCTCGAAGCCACAAGTTATTTTTTTCCCCTCAGTGTCACCAGACGGGCACCGTAGATTCCAGTTCCTGTTTTAAAGTGGGTTAAATATTTTTCACAAGCCAACAACAAAAAGAAAGAAAAACAGTAATTATCTAAAATGAAAATGCTATTTCTCACCTATTAACTTTCGTGCTTTGGAGTACAAAAAGTTCATGAAAACCAAAATAATTCAAGCTCAGTTTGCTCCACTCTGAGTCTGATTTACTGTGATGGTCACCTGTTCCAGCCAGATAACTGCATCTCTGGGGTTAGGCTCTGAGCTGAGGAAGGACTTCACCAGTGAGACGCCTGTGTTGTTCTGTTCATCTTCAACAGGTGCTCACAAAGGTACATGCTGCTAAACATGGAGAACATCTAAGCAGCTTGACCACGTAGTTGGTCAGTATGTCAGGAAAGAAAGATAAAAAGTGCAGCAGCCAGATTCATACTGACTCGAGCGTGTCACTACACTGGAAATCATCTCGGTCTGGAAGTTTGTTGGTGTGCTTTCTGTGTTAACAGCAAACAGATTACTGAGCGGTCAAAATCTGTTTCTGGGCTTCAAAGTCGGTAAATTGCTGAGCAGGGGCGGCGTTAGGCCCGGCTACTTGGGCTGAAGCCCCGGATGTTTTATGAAAAGCCCCGGATCTAAATCGCGGAAGTAACATGCAGTACCAAAGTCCAACAGAGAGGGAGCAGCTGGCAGTAGTTGGTATACAGCCTGCCTGAGCCTCCACCACTGAAGAAGAAGCCCTTCAGCAGCTGGCTTCTTCTACAGTCTCTGCCTGAAACGCATGTGTGAAGATGGACATAAGGGCGTTTTTTAGACAAAAAGTACAACGACAGAACCCCAGCTTTGATGAGACTGGTGCTGACTCAGGTTTGAGTCTTATTTGAAAATATTTGTTGTGCTGCTGGTTTGCCTAAAGTTAGCTTACTATCAGGTAAAGTTGTTGGAGAAAGAACTGGAACATTTACTATCATCTCACACTAAACACTAACAGGAACAATACTCTGCCCTGAATATGCTTAATATGTAGCTTCAGATTAAACATTATGTGGTACAAGACAAATATATATGATGTTGACTAGTACGTGTCAAATGTGTATGTGTGTGTGTGTGTGTGTGTGTGTGTGTGTGTGTGTGTGTGTGTGTGTGTGTGTGTGTGTGTGTGTGTGTGTGTGTGTGTGTGTGTGTGTGTGTGTGTGTGTGTTAAGCCCCGGATCTTCTTCAGTCCTAAATCCGCCCCTGTTGCTGAGTAAACTCGGTGCTCATTAAGAGGAGTGACTTCAGTTTGTGCGTGACTGAGGAGGTAACGCTGCAGATGCTGAGTAGTAGAGTGGGTGCTAATGAATGTAAACAGATAGGAGGGGGCGCTTCGATAGATGCGCTAATGCGGCAAAGCGCTATGGGATTTGTAGACTTTACGGCAAAATCGGCCGACGGGCTACTATTAATATATATTTGATATTTGATCTCGCGGGCCAAATAAAAATAGACCGCAGGCCAAATTTGGCCCAAGGGCCTGAGTTTGCCACCTGTGGTCTAAGGATTTGCTACTAAATTAAACAGCCAATCATAGGAGAACCCTTCTAGCCAGTCTGAGGCGAGAAAGGCGGGACCTTCCTTGGACATCATACGATTCCAAATGATGCTGCCGACGCCGGTTTTCTGACTATCCTTGCTAATCATCGTTATGTGCTACTTTGGGGAAATGCGCAGACTGATTACTGCGTCACAGGCTGTTTACCTGAAGAGACGCACTCCCTCTGGAAGTTGTTATATTACTGCTTGTTGTGAGTTTACCTGACAGTTAGCTTGTAAATGGCTTGTAACATTTCATTATTATACTGTAAACAAGAAATTTCTCCCATTGTTTACCGTCATTCACGGAATCATGACAAACATTGTCATTTTCATAAATAAATCATGAGAAAAGCTGTATATTTTTGCTAATAATTATATTACAGTTCTGTATTTTTGATACCATTTAAAACAAACATGCTTACTAAACATGTTACTATATACTGTAAACAAGAGCAAAACTGTCGTAACACGCTGTGGTAAGAATATTTGACGAGGAAGCACGGACAGTCACAACACCGGTGGTACGTCTGCTGTAGCTCTAGAAACAATAACAAAACAAGGAAAAAGTTTAAAACATGTGTGAGCTCCATTTCTGCAGCTTCTTTTTAGTGTGGTGGCAGTTGCTAGGTGACAAGTGGACATCCAACAAAGTAGGGGCGGGACTATGGCCTAATCCCAATACTCGCACTTGCACCCTTGCGCCCTTCAATTATGCATTCCTGGGCAGGGGTGCGAGTGCGTAGGGTGTCCCCATTCTCAAGTGTGGAAGTTGACCACGCCCCCATTGCACTTCACCCAAGTCCGCAGCAATGCAGACCCCGGGCAGGGGTATTACCCACAAGTCATTGCTGCAGGAGAAAAGGCTCAAGTTCCTTTTCTGAATATATGAAAATTTTAGGACGATTAGTTGATGCTCAAAAACTTTTAGACAAAGCAGCAAGAAATGTAAATTGATTTCAAATAACTGTTAGGCTGTTTGTTTAAAAGTTGTTAATTAGGGTTTTTGAAAAAATTATCACAGTGACCAGCATCCCGACATGCGTTGCATAGTTTGGTTGTCCCCAGAGCTAGGCTTAAGAGAAGAGGTTGTAGAGCATTTTCTGTAGCAGCTCCAACTTTGTGGAATCTTCTGCCCGTCTACATTAGGACAGCTTCATCACTTGTGGTTTTTAAAAAATAACTGAAAACACATTTTTACTCTATTGCTTTTAATACTCAGAGCGTTTTAGTCTTGGTTTTATGACTTTTTGTCTGGTTTTAGTCATGCACGCTTTTGCTTTTTTGCCCAGTCAATTTTATCTACTAACAGTTAGCTGTTTATAATCCATTACTGTTTCGGATTTTATGACCTTTTTATTTTATTTTATTGTTGTAATTTTAAATTAACTTAGATTTTAACATGTTCAGCACTTTGGAGGCAAAATACAAAATTCAATAAAACATGTAGTGAATAGGAAATAGAACAGAAAATAGATTTGGACCAGACAGATCATTACTTGACAAGGTGGCATATTCTTGTTCGACGCTCAGCAGAACAGCTCTCCTCCTGAGATCTTGATCCCAAGTTAAGCCATAAACTAATTTTCAAAAAGCTGATTTGTTTCTAACTTTTATCCAGAAATCTCCTCTACAGTCTCTTCTACATTCAAAAGATTTCTCATCACAACAGGGGTGGAAAGAATGTTCCTCAAGTTCATTAGAAAAAAATAATAAAATAACAATAGGCTTTAAAATCAAATGGCTCTGTTCTGTATGTTTCAAAGCACACATAAAAAAGGATACATGAGCACCAGCTTCTTAGCCATGTCTGTAGATGGGATGTACCAGGGGTGCATCATGAGAAACATCCGAACGAGGGAAGCATCGTTCAAAGTGCCATTTTGACCTTTAAAAACAAAATTATAATGCTTTCAGACTAACTAGGCTTAATATATTAATTCCAAATACACTGTAAAAACATTTTTGACTTTTCAGACAGTGCAAAGGGATTCACGTCATGAAAGTTATATTTTCTATGACTTTAACAAACCAAAGGCTTGGATGCACCCCTCCAGCAGCTCATCTACCGTGGCTGATTGCTCAGGTGAAATGGACTCCATCTCCCCCTCCTCTGTCGTTCACCCGTTTCTTATGGCGTGGTTTGACCTCTGTGACACTCACTAAAACACACAAAATAGTTCAAAAAGGTCAAAATGGGAACATATAAAAAAACTTCTTCAGGCATGTGTTACATGTCGAGATACAACATCAAAGTTGAAATTCTTTTCAACAGACTCAGTGGTAGAGTCATATTGCTTTTGCCCAATCCAAGGCAAGATGTCTGAATTATCAAACATAAGACTCAAAATCCTGACATCTGAAGCTGACTTGTAATTCCTGCACCTGAACCCCCCACCCCGTATGACTTGGAAGACATTAATTCCTACTACAGACTACTGCAAACATATTGATTAAACAAGTGAACCACTACTTTAAAGGTGCATGAAGTCAAATAAGTTTGCTCTGAGCAACTGTCAGCATTATGGCTCAGTGCCAGAAGATTCATACACAGTTGATAAGTTGATACATTTACTGCTCAAAAAATGAAAGAAAACACAAAAATGGTGGTTTCTAAAATATCTAAAACAAGGATGGGAGGCAGATATTTAAACTAACAGGCTCCTTTCCTATGGAACCAGCTCCCAGCTTTAGACTGTGAGGCAGACACCTTATCTACTTTTAAGATAAGCTTAAAGAGCCTATTGCAGGTTGCCTCCTTTAAACAAATGTTTAGAAACATAATAGGAACTTGTTCTAAATAAAAATGCACATGTACATACATTATTTAGGCTTTTGGGGTCATTTTTGTGAGAAAACAGTTTTTTTCTATCAAACCAGAAATGACGTAGGTATTACGTCCCCGGCTCTCCAGGAGAGATGAGGATAGAGGAGTAATAAAATTGGTGTGTGGGTGAAATCAAGACTCAAGACTCAAGACAACTTTATTAGTCCCTGAGGGGCAATTCGAGACAGCATTGTGATGCAGCCGGCACTAAAATCTCTAAATTCTAAAAACACATCCAATTTACACATTTGTAAAACCCATAAAACCTATATACACATTCATGTCATAAACTCACATGTGAATGACCAACAATGAGTAAACCTTTGGCTCACACACACACACACACACACACACACACACACACACACACACACACACACACACACACACACACACTCACACATGCACACATACAAGTAATGCACACTCCCCCTATCTGCACTGAGAATTAAGAAGAAGCACAGCTCTGGGAACAAAGGAACTTCTCCTCCTCTGTGTTTTACAGCATGGGCATCGAAGTCGGCGTTTGGAGGGCAGCCACTCGAAAACAGTATGAAGAGGGAGTGATGGGTCTTTAATGATTTTCTGTGCTAAACTTCCTGTATGCTGGTCAATTTGAGAAGTTAAGCTTCACAGTGGTAGTCCAATGATCCGAGAGCACACCTTGACGGTGCTTTGTAGACAGTTTCTATACTGCAGGCTGACAGAATAAAACCAACAGGGGATAGAAAATGTGATAACACTCTCTATAAAAGAATAATAGAAAGTCAGTAAAATGTCCTTCCTGACTCCAAATGAATTCAACTTCCTCAGGAGGTAGAGTCGTTGCTGGCACTTTCTGAGGATGTCCTCGGTGTTGGAAACGAATTTCAGGAGGTGATCAATGGTGGTCCCTAGATATTTATACTCTTCAACCAGCTCCACTGGCTGTCCATGAATGATAGTGGAGGCAGCGGTAACCAGCGCTCTCTGTTTGTTTGAGAAGGACACCACCATCTCCTTAGTTTTGGTCACATTCAGCTCCAGGCATGCAGTGTCACACCAATCCACAAACTCCTGCAGGACCTGCCCGTGGTAAACAGTAGGGCCTGACAGAAGAGACAGGAGCATTATTCTAACATTTAACAACTCTGTTAACAAATGATAACAAAGTGCAGTGTCGCTAAAATAACAAAGGATTTTATTACAAAACGAGTCTTTACAACATTAAATGGAGCTATCTACAAAAAGAAGGGGAAAACGGAAAACGCCACCCCAGAAGGGGTGGGAATAAACTAACTAAAAAGATACCAATAAGAAGAGCAGTCCTGATAAGCAGGAAAGCTCAGGGAGGTCCAAAGTCCAAGTCAAATACGTTCCAAAGTCGAGATACCAAACTGTCTAATCCTAAATCCAAATCCAAAAGAGAGTCAAATACCAAAGTCGAAATGAGAGCAATACTAAGTCTAGAACACATGAGGATAAGAGAATAGTATAAACTCTAAAGAGACTACACTACCCTTGGACCTTCTCACTGGCTGAAGGCAGGAGAGCAGCTTTTAACAGCTGCTGCCTGATTACTGATTTTAAACAGCTGTGACACCGGAGACAGGCGAGGCAAAGGCCACTGAGGCCATCTTGTGGCCGAAAAGGGCCACGGCACGTAACATAGGCCAAGGGAGACCTGTTAGCTTAATCCAGAGTAAAATATGGGTTCTAATGTCAGCTTTGACAAAGAAAACTTCAAATGTTTATAATTAAAGAGTAGACCACAACCGTACACTTATGAGCCTGCTGTATGCCTCAAGACAAGCCAGAGACAGAAATGACGGCAAATGGAGAGAAATTATGTTGTGGTATGGGGTTAGATTTGTGCCAATAAGATCAAGAAAAAACACTGAAGATCAAACAAAAATAAAAATAAAAAAATTCTGAGAAAAAAACCCAAAAGAAAATAATTGTTTCAAAGTAAATTGAATCAACTTCCTAAAATGACCAATTAAGTCTTTTTCCTTTTTCTGTTTGACTCTATTTATTTAATCAATTTATTTTGTTTCATTCTCGCTGCTGAGAGCTTTGCTCACTACCAGATTTGCAGTTTCACTTCCTGGGTCTCTCCTTTGCAGTCCCTGGGTCTCAATGTCAAGGAACCTTGCCTTGATGTTTTGGTCCAACCCCAGTTGCCTAGGAGCTGCCAAGGAGTGTTCCGGTATTCGTCTGTTCGCCGTTTGTTAGCCGTTTAGTTGCCTGGGCAAGGATACACGGGAGGTGCCTTGAAGCCTGGCCTTGGTCAAAAATTCACCAGAATACAAAGCAGTATTTTCAAGGATGGTGGATCAGGAGCCAGCAGCTACTTTGGGGGCAGATTTCCAGTTCAAATGTAAGTCAACTAATTGTAGCTGTCTGGCTTGTATCTAAAATGTTTTCTTATATATTTAATTTAACCAATATACAATTTATATATAATATAACTAGGGATGTCCCAATCAGGTTTTTTTGTCCTCGAGTCCGAGTCATTTCATTTTGAGAATCTACTGATACCGAGTCCCGATCCGATACTTTCGATACATAAAAATAGATTAAAGAAAGTGAAGAAACAGATCCAGAATGAGCCTTACTTTTTATTTATTATTTTATTTATTTCTTTATTCTAACATTTAACAACTCTGTTAACAAGCAAGCACTTCTTGAACAATCAAGTAATAAATAACATAAATTCTTCATATTTTGGACATTTATTGCAAATATAAAAAAGTCTATTATGAAAACAAATGGCTCCTCAACTTAAAATACCTGGCAGGGGTCTATTTGCCTCAGCCCCCAAAATGCCTTGATGCCTCCCTGGGCATGGGACCTAGTTTTGAAGGTGATCTGAATTGTATCAAATATATAAATATTACATGCAGATAAATTATCACTTTATAAAGGTAAAAACATGTAGTGGGATAAATCTACCTACATTTTATGTTTAAAGAGCTTAACTGCATTGCTGGTTCTTTTTTAAAACACAGAAAATGTTTCTTTTTACCTTGCGGACAGTTTTGTGTGTGTAGACCCCATCGTCTCTGTTCATGGTCCCACATCCACGTCTCCTTATCTCTATAGCTTCTTTTATTCATCTTTTGTATTTCTGTTGTTCGGTGTTAATGATCCTTGTGTTGTCTCAGTCCATTATATGGTTTTCTCTTGTGCAGTGATCTGTTACGGCTGACTTCTTTATTGTGCTTTCTGCTTCTTGTTTTGCTGCTCTTGTGTGTTTTCGACTAGTTTCTTTCTCGCACTCCTTTCTATGTTCTATTGTACGTGTGTTGAGTTGGCGTCCAGTTTCTCCTATGTACGTTTTTTTGCAGAGCTTGCATAGATTTCGTAAATGACTCCACATTTTTGTCCTGCTGGTTTTTGTCTTTTGGGTGAATTAGTCTGTTTCTAACTGTTGTGTATGGTTTTGTTGGTGTGTTTATGTTGTGTGTTTTCATTGTTGCTGTTACTTTGTCTGTTATGTCTATCACTGGTTTTGGTTCTTGTCTTTCTGGGTTTCTGGTTCTTTACTTTGGTTGTTCTTGTCTTTCTGTTGTAGTTTGTTGTCTTCCTTCATTTATTGGCCATGTTGGGTATCCGCAGGTCTTTAAAGCATTTTGTATGTGTTTGTCCTCTTGTTTACGGTCTCTTTCTTCTGTTATCATGTTTGCTCGGTGATATTATGTTTGGATTACTGACATTTTGTGTATGGTAGGGTGTTCTGATGTCCATAATAAGAATTGGTCTGTGTGTGTTGGTTTTCTATATGTGTTTATGTTTAGGGTTCCGTCAGTCTGCCTGGTTATTTTCATGTCCATTAATGCTATACTGCCTTCTGTTTCTGTCTCTTATGTGAACTTTACGTTGCCTGTGTCATCAATGTTATTCAAGTGTTGTGTTAGTGTTTCTGTTTGTCCTTTTGGTATGATTTCTAGTATGTCGTCTACGTAGCGTTTCCATAATTTTATTTTGCAGTTTGGGGGGCAGTGGCTATGGCTTTTTCTTCTAGGTCTTCCATGAAAAACTCGCACAGCGTGGCTGATAATTGGTTACCCATGGCGAAGCCTTCCAGTTGTTTGTATATTGTGCCATCGTATGTAAAGTAAGTGGAATTAGCTACCAGTCCTATCAGTTGTGCTGTCATCTGCTGTGAGGTTTGTTCTTTTGTGTAAAGTTTTGTCCTGTCTGAGTGAACAAAACCGGGAATTTACATTGGCAAGCGGTTGGCCGATGAGGTATTGGTTTAGAATATTCATAGCATTTTTGTGCTTCGTTAGAATAGGATTAACAATGTGTGTTTGTTCACAGATCTTAGCCTGCTACTGTTTTTTCCAGTTCTTTCATTAAACCTTTTCCAGTTCTTTTATTAAACCTTTTCCAGTTCTATTTTATCATTAGTCGTCTTCGGTAGAGGGGGAAGGAAGGAAAACTTCTCGTGAGACGTGTGGTTAGCATTGAGGACAGTGTTGTCTCTGGGAGGGTAGTAGCTTCCTTTAGAGTATCCGCTGTAGGGGGTTGTCGGGGGTTTTACTCACTTCTGGGGGCGTGTGTATGAGCTTTAGTTAAAGGGAGCACTGGGTGTTTTCCTTTATATTATTGTCTTTTGTGTCAGTTGCCTACAGCGGCCTTGTGCTTTTAAATAGTAGTTGGCTGGCGTTGTGTGTGTAGTCCCAGGGCCAGCATTGTTGCCGCTCCTCCCTTCTCCCTCGTTTAGAGTTTTAGTCCATCTCTTTTATCCCGACCTGGGTTTTTTTAGTAAATCTTATCTGTGTTGATGTGTCCTGTAAATAAAATTGTTAACTTGTGAACAAGCCTCGGCTATGTTTCATTAAGGGTTATTACCTATGGTTTAGGATCAACATATCCAATCTTCTAGGTCACAATTGGCATTGTTGGCAGGATCCCAGCTGCCCTAATTATAGCGGCCCTCTAATTACACACTGGCCTCTCCTGTGTCAGCGGCATGGCACGTACGACCAGAATTACTTCTGGGAACTAAGGTGACCCGGTTTCATATGTCTATGGTTTTTTGGGTTGGTGTTTTTGTGAACAGGGATGTGACGTCATGTGAGATGAGTAGGCCTCTGCGCTCCTCTGGCAGGCGTCTCCTGGTCATCCCTAAAGTCAGGACACAAACTCACGGCG